GATCAGACACTGACACTGACCACCAATCGGCCCAAACCGGTGATCCATAAGCCCTCCGAAGTGATGGTAAGGGTGTGGGCGTCGAGTGTGAACCCCATAGACGTGGCGATGAGCGTCGGCTATGGCCGAGGAGTGCTGGATGTGCTGCAGTTGGCCACCGATGTGGGCGTGGATCAGATGACTCACGACCGGTTGCCGCTAATACTGGGCCGCGATTTTTGCGGTGAAATCTACCGGTGCGGACACGGCGTCCGGCACTACAGAGTCGGCCAATGGGTGTACGGCTCGTTACCGCCCTTCTGGAGGACTGGCAGTCACTGCGAGTTCATTGTCGCCGACGAGAGTCACGTATGTCTGCAAAATAGTGGACACAAAAAGTTTTTAATTTAGATTTTTGTTGCTTTTAATGAGAAATAGTTTTGTAATTATTTTTGTCGTATATTTATGACAAACGTATCAATCATTGCTTTCCATGATTTGCATAAACACTGAAAACCTATTCATTACTCTTTGGGACAGTTATGTGAAAAGCCGTCTAATATATCAACCGTGGAGTCGGCGGCCATTCCCTACGTGGGGCTGACCGCGTGGTCGGCCTTACAGACTATCGGAGGTTTAAACGATAGGAACTCATATAACAAGAGGTATAGCACTGCATATGATAGCGAATGTCATTCCCCTCTCAATAATCCATTCATTTATTCATAATTCAAATTACAAACAATATTCACAATTCATATACAGAGCGCTAGTATTGGGCGGAACGGGAGGAGTCGGTAATATAGCCATACAACTGCTGAAATCATGGGGCGCTCACGTGACCACCACGTGCTCGCCTGATGCCATGCAGTTTGTTATGAGCCATACCGGAGCCGATGAGTGCGTCGACTATACAAACGACAACGAGATGACGGAAACCTTGAGCTCCGGGAGCTTTGACTTCGTGCTGAACGCCGCCTCAGCTGCCGCTGCCTTAGACGAGAGCATACAGTCGGTCGCCAAATGGAAAGCCGGCGCTAAATACGTGACACTAACCACACCATTGCTGGCCAACACCGACCGGTACGGCGTGTTGTTCGGTACCGGACTGTCGGCGCTGACCGCCATTAAGCAGACGATCGACGGGTGCAGCCAAGGCTACAGTAGCCGCTGGGCCTACTACTGGGCTAACCCGGGGGCCCTCCGGGAGATCACTCGCGCCGTGCAATCAAATCAAATCAAACCCATTGTCGAAAGGGTTTACGCTTTCAATGAAATACCCGACGCTTACGGACGGGTAGCTCGCGGTCACTGCAGGGGTAAGGCTGTAGTCGAGTTGACGTAAAATATCGTATCATTTAATAAGTTTTTTTGGTTATCATTAAGTCCTAAGTCTGAGTGAAAACTCATTTACAAATAAAAATGATTTGTTTTTAAAGTATTTTTGTCATAAAAATATATAATGAAATGGATTTGAAAACAAAAAATATTTTGTGTAAATATTGTATAATAATTAATTGATAAATTAAAATTAAATTAAAT